CGGGGCAGCCGATCTGATCAATGCTTCCAGAGTGTCAGATAAGGGCGGCGGAGAAAAGCTCACCGGAGAAAAGCTCACCCGAGAAAAGCTCACCGGAGATAAGCTCACCGGAGATAAGCTCACCGGAGAAAAGCTCACCGGAGATTAGCTCACCGCAAAACCGGCAGATGCAGAGAAAAGCTCACCGGCCTGTCAGCGAATGCGGAAAAAAGCTCACCGATTTTTTTTTTAACTTAGCGGATTTCGCGTAAAACGTGGCAATTTAACACAATTAGAATTCGTCACTTCATTAAAAATAAGTATAATTTTAGGTTGTAATATTCTTGAGGTTCATTGGGCATATTTGCTAATTCTTCAGAAATTAGTAATCACTCATTCTGTATATTAATGAAGCCGCAAGGGTATAAAATCAGAACATCGTACACCTGTAAAAAACGACAATTTATTGACAGCTGACAGTGCGCCGTCGATAGCTGTCAGATAAAAACGCTTGCTCTTTGTGAGCTCACATGAACAGCGGTGTGTGAACGGATTCAGCTGCGAATATTGTGTACTGCCTAATAGATAAGTACGTGTTTATTGATATAATCAGTGTACGCTACGCTGTTTCCTTTCTGTTAATTTGATTAAGAAAACTTTAGTTGCGAAAACAGTCTCGTCGTGTCGTGTTTGTCGTTTTCACTCCATCGTCGTCATTTGAGCGGTTTTCATCATGTATAACGTTTACGAACTCGCCCTATTCGCTACCTTACAGAAAACTACTTCTTACATAGGTGGCGAGTAACAGCGGTGCCAGTGTGCAGCTCTGAAGGTCATGGTAGAAGGACACTATCACACAAAGGCAACGTGTGGAAACACCAGCACGAACGGCTAGAAAACGTGCATATCCGTGGAAGAAGGAAGCCTCAATATCCTACTGAGTGTTTTATACTGTTTTCAAAAGTTAACAAAAGCTTCAAAGAGAATTTCAGGCATCGCGTTGTTGCGCGTGCCCTTTTGGATATTCGGCATTTACAGTTTTTATTTTTAGGTTTAAGGCAGAAATTATTAAGTCTTCGAAGTTTTTCCTGTTCTTCAAGTTCGTAAAGTTGTCAGTTAGGCTTTCGTTGCCCTAGAGAGTGAGCCACAGAAAACACTCGCCCGCAATTATTATTTTGGGAGCAGTATACCCAATAAGCTTAACAAATATTACAAAAACTGTCTTTTTTTTTTACAAAGCTGACGAATTTTCATAATAATAAATTGATATTGATATACTAACAGCCTCCATAATAATAGAAGAAAAAAAAATCTTGAGTTTTTCTCCGCATACGCTCAATGGCCGGTGAGCTTTTCTCCGCATCCGCCGGTTTTGCGGTGAGCTTTTCTCCGGTGAGCTTATCTTCGGTGAGCTTTTCTCCGGTGAGCTTTTCTCCGGGATCCGTCAGATGATCCCTCCCGAAAAGAACAGATCGAAATGTCATCGACATATCTTTTCACACAACAGGACCCCGCTGTCAGCTCCTGCAACCTATCAGATAGGACACAATCCAAAGAATTTAGGTAAACTTCCGCTAACGCCGGTGCTACACTCGACCCAACGCATACTCGTTCTTTCTGTAAATACTTTTTCCATTCATACTCTACTATCGTTGACTGCAAGTAATAGTCAAGAATGACAAGAAAACCGTCCACCTAAATGCCTGACCACGATTACAACCTTACCAAATTCATTTCAAGCACTCCTTTTACTCTTTCCAACAGCTGATTTCTCTCTAGTGAGAAATAAAGATCCTTGATGTCCATTGACAACACATCTCTCCTTCCATGATGACCTTCGTGTATCGTGATCAACTCACTCGAATTCTTCAGTGACAAAGACTTATCTAGAATTGCATGTTTTAAACCTTTTTGAAGAAACACGGAGACTACCTTCTGCCAAGTCCCATTCTCATTGACCACCACCCTAAGTGGCATCTCCGGTTTATGATCCTTAATGAAAAATTTTACGCTCAACGCTGACTTCGACAAATTTAACATGGTCTTTGCTACATCCCCAAATTATTCGTCTTCCTCTAAAATCGAAACTATATTTTTCTTTAACTTTCCGATGTTTCCACGCCATTCATGAAACATGAAACTTTCGGGTCGTCAACTCGGTTAGAAAGGAGTTAGAGGATCGTTCATTACAATTGCTACAAACGAATAAATCCGGTAGATTCGCGGTTCTTTCGAAATCGTAATTTCAAACAAACTGGACAGCCGAGTCAGCTGTCCAGACTATGTAGCGCCCATTTTGTTACAGGTAAGTTGACTTGTAATTTTTGCAAGCGATAGAGCTCTGCGAAGTGCGGCGATGATCACAGCCGGCGTTAGACAAGGCACACCCGGACTATGTCCCTACACTGTTTAGCTACTCGCGTCCATGGCCGTCAGCCCTCGGTCGGTTTCAACGCTGGTCCTCCAGATCATCAACCCAAGGTGAGAACCTTTTGTTGGCAATCAGGTCAGCTGAACACGAAAAAACAAGGACACGAAGGAAAGAACTGGACAAAGACAACGCTGACTATCAACTGAATTTTACTTTGTCTTCTTCCCGGCCTAGGCCCTTTTTTTTTTTTTTTTTTTTCGTCTAACGGCAGAATAAACACTTATAAAAAACCTTTTAGCCTAGTATTCAACGGGGTGTGGCAGACCGCAATCTTCTCCTTTTACTTCGATGGCCAAGGCCTCCAGCACTTCACGCACGGAGTTCTTGTTCCTATGAAGGACGGTTATGCTGGTGAGCTGGGCATCGCATCCACAGGTCCGGCAATGAGCTGACAAATGTCCTGCTGATGTGCTTCTCACCGAGGCTGCGTGCTCCCTTGCTCTATCACTTATACATCCGCCAGTTTGGTCGATGTATAAATGCGAGCAGCGAAAGAAAACTAAAAGCAGCAAAAAGAAAACGAACCGGTAGCACACAAGAAGCCTAACGTGGACGTTGTTTTCTCTACAAATACTCTCCAACCCAGTGCGCCTCAGGTTCGTCCATCGCCCCATAGGTGGCAGCACATATTCGCCAAAAGGTTCATTCATCTGACCACTACCAACACAAACGGGGCTGGGGACATGCCAGGGGACCATAAGCTCGCATCTGTCTCTAGATTTCGTCCCTTGTTCATCTTTTTCACGGCGCTCTTCATACCCTCATAGTTCATATTCGTTGAACCGCTATCCCACTCACTTTGCCATTTGTGGCAGCTCGCGTGGCGGGACAATGGTTGGGAGGTCGATCGGTTGTGGCGGAGGACTGCTGCAACCAAAATCAGGAGCGATGATAACGAAGAACGAAAGATGATGTACCCCGCACCTCCACCAAAATATTACGGTGTTGTTGAAGGAGTATAGTACAGGAGTCAGTCTCTGGCGGTCCGAGTTTATTAACGGCAAAGTTCCTTAGGGTTTAGTCTTGTCCGACGTCCGTGCTTACATCGATTGCCATCCTATCTGTCTTCTTAAAAAAAAAAAAAAAAAAAAAAAAAAAAGTTTGCGCAGTCGACAGGATTCGAACCTTTGCAGGGAGACCCCAATGGATTCCTAGTCCAACGCCTTAACCACTCGACCACGACTACAGGACGAGTAGGGGGCTCTGAGATGTGGTAGTAACTCAAGAGCTAAAGGTGCCATGGAATAAACGTTGCATGTAGCCGCTCAACGTCTATACAGGAGAGGGCGCTGGGGCCAAATGCGTATATAATCCCGTTAAATGTTGCATACATTGGCTCGACGTTTATAGACGATAGCGTGCTGAGCTCAAGTGCTCACAAAATCAGTATCATCAGCACCACCAGAGCTTCGCCCCAATCAACATCATTCGCCACGTGGAGATGCGGTCATTTTGTTTCGAACTGCCGGGCTCAGCTCGAGCTGTCGCGCGTCCTAGCCATTTTTCTGGCGCGCACTTTCTTTTCTTCTAAGCAACAATATATATATATATATATATATATATATATATATATATATATATATAACACGGGCACTTCACCCCATCGTACGTGGTCTCCGAAGAGGAAATAAACAAACATATGCAGATGAATGATCCGTTTATATATATATATATATATATATGGTCATCTAAACCCCAAACAGACGATGACAGACAGTATATTTGCTAACTGACTTGTGTTGCTTATTCATATTCTGCTCAACACTGTGCATTCATAGACAATTCTTAATTATTGGACGGTCGATCAATAATTTTTATATAATTTTGAGATTTTTATAGCTTTATTTATACGTAAAAGTAATATATTAATATTGTCGCCGTCACATTTCTGTGGCTCAACATAATACATTATTAATCATCTTTTGTAATATACAGTGACCTGTAATCTGATTGTTAAATGGCAGCATATATTTGCCCTTAACGACAGGTGTCCTTTGCGTACAAGTATGTTCTGAAAAATATCAATATGTTAACAAGAACAAAGACGGTAAATATAAATTTTGAAATGATATGAATAGTATTTTGATTCAAGCCGTGGACTATTCGCGATTGATACGCGCAATTGTGCACGAGAAGAAAACTTTAGATTGTAATTTAAATTCAGAACAAAAATTTAATTGCCGAGTTTCTCCGCATCTTAATTGAGAAAGAACTTTTCCTTTCGAAACTGCTAGCTCCAAATACTTTTCAGCAATACACCCTCGGGAGATATTGCATACATACCGTCCGAGAAGCACTGGGAACTCCAGTGCTATTCCTTTCATCGGTTTTCAATGAGAATAACGAGCAACATATGCAGAATAACGTGGCAGAAGGCTCAAATCTCATAATCCCCAAGGATTACGAGATTTGAGCCTTCTGCCACTTCGGCCTTATAACCATCGAAGCGCGACACCGCTGATGACAGTCACGCAGAGATATGATCGCGCTTCAGAGTGCATCGCAGTGCAGTATACTCGCAGGAACTCTCGAGAGTGTAGGGTCAAACATTTGTGCCGGAACTGTTATTTTCCCTAAATCTCGGCGCTGACTATTTGTTCGGCGACGTCCTGGCCATCGAACGATGTCCTAGCAAGTCCGAGCCCGCTTCAAACGACTTCTCGGACGGCTCGCTCGAAGTCCCCGACCTGGTAGACTTGTTCTTGAAGGTCGCCATCAACGCCTCAAATTGCGCCTCGAGGTTGTCGTCGTCGAATGTGGGACAAACCACGAAGTCCGCGTGGTCGTAGCTTTGATGGTCGTCAGTATGGTACAGCTTGCTCGCGAAGTCTGTCAGCCGTTGGCTGGGATCCCCGACCTCCCGAAACGCTTGGCCCGCCTTGGCGTCATCCGTGTACTTGCAGGCACCTTCGTCCGGTTTCAGCGACGCGAAGAAGTCTTTCGGACTCTGGGGCTCGGACCGCTTTCCGTGGGCCCCCGTATCGGCGAAGCTGCAGCCCTCTTTGGCCCTGTCCCAGAAGTCGGAGGCCACGTCTTGGGAAGTGTAGTTCACCCTGCTAGAGTAGAGCGAGCCGTGTTGCACCTCCTGGTGGTCGGCGTGCGCCCAGTCGAAGGACTCCACCTGGGAGGTCAGGTTGCTCTTATCGGATGCGAACAAGTCCTCCAGCGCCGCCTGACGCGTCAGCGATGCCAGGACCGTGCCATCCTCTGCGATGTTGCTGAACGGCCGGTGAAGCATGGCCGAGACCACGGGGGATCCTTCGCGAGACTGCTTCAGCGAACGCTTGGCCAGTCTGCGAGAGGTGCCCGTTGGGAATGTTCGCCTTAGCTGTTGATCATTTCTGATTATTTTTCTGGGATGCCTGTCAATAGCACAATGACCCACAAGACTGTCCGCAAATGTAAAGGGACACCAAGCAAAACTTTTGGACTATGGTACCTCGTAAACTATTACAGGCGCGGACGCCAGACGTGAGCATACGTGTTGCACGGCGCCGCACCGGGAAATTTGATAGGTTAGCTTCTAGGGGTCGATAGCTAGCCTGACAAAAAGGAGTTAAAGGTTATGATATCACTGCCGGGCCCTTTTACGCGAGAGCTAGAACGCATCTCATGTAAATTGTCTGTCAATAGAAATAAGGCGAATATATGACGGACAAAAAAAAAAAAAAAAAATACGGAACACAGGTAGCACAGAAGGGCGTCCATGTAACTGCTTTCCCCGCGCGCACGCGCACATTCCTTCACTTACAACTACTCGCAACAAGCTAAAACAGCTCACACATTCCCGACGCATCGAGGTATCTAGTTTAGAGTCGAGAACCAGCTGGATCCCAAGGATTATCCCGTCTGTCACAGAACGGCTTCTCGGGTTTTCCTTGATCCTCTGGAGCGTGGATGTCACAGTCCTCCGCTGATGGAACAGTCTAACTTCGGCCAAACGTTTAGGTGTGGGTTCAACGCACGTGACTTTATACAGTTAAATCCGAATGAGCGTCACCACCTCTTTTCCGGCTCCAAGACTTACATGTGATTAAAAAAAAGATGAGCTGCAGAAACCACTATTGTTGGTTGCCTATGAATTGCGATAGCCTTCGTCATGAGACTCACGACGCAGCTAATTGTGAATACGACGACGCAAATTTTGATTGAACACTTTATGTTATGAATGGTTTACAGCGCAATCATTGACGTCAGCGCGACTACAGCGCGCCAATTCGAAATTGAGTGATTGCTTCGTCTCTGTGTAATCGTTTCAATCATCTGTCTTCGTGCAACCGTTTAATGTCCAAGCTGTTTTCCCACCATCATTGCAGCTTCGTGTGTGTTTTTGCCTGTCTCTGTGTAACCGTTTAATGTTCGAGCTGTTTTCTCGTCATCATTGCAGCTTCGTGTGTGTCTTGCCCTGTCTCTGTGTGATCGTTTAGTGTTCAAGCTTTTTTACCACCATCATTGATCGTGTATACCAACTAGATCAACTCAAACTGGTAATTGCATGCTTCGTAGCTTGGGCGCAAATGTGAATGTGTGCGTTCTGCCACTATACGTATGCACCGCGTAGGTTTATCTGCTTGCAACGCAGCCATGAGCGGTTCCTTCGTAGCTTGGGCGCAAATGCTAATGTGTGCGTACTGCCGCCTCGTGTATAGCGCGGCGCGGGATTAACTGCTTGCTAGGGTTACGTCGAGGACAACACCTAGGACAACCTCTAGTACGACCTCTAGGGCGATCTCAATGACCTCTAGGGTGATCATAATGACGACGTCTAGGACAACGTCGAGGACGACATTCTAGAGGACGGAGTGAAAGACGACATCTAGAAAGACCTCTGGGACGCCCTCCAGGGCGATCTCAACGACGACATTTAGGACGACCTCAAGAATGACGTCTAGGACGACGTCCTAGAGAAAAATGTCGAAGACGTCGTCTAGGACGACCTCTAGAAAGACGTCGAAGAGAACGTCAAGGACTTCAGGTCATTTGAAGAGGGTGCGCATGTGAAGGCGTGCGTACTGCCTCTCCGCATATACTCGGCGCCTGCGTATGCGCGGCGCATTCAAGGCCAGATACCGTATTGCGAAGATTGGGTGAAGTAGCTAAAGAATACTATCGGATTAAAACAGCAGCAACAAATAAAATAAATGTGGCTAAGAGGACACGTATAGTCAATTGCAAGCATGGTGCCTCACCGGTACCTCATGTGTGCGAGCATCTGCAGCCCGCACGTGAAACTAGCTTTGGCAAGCTTGCAGTGGCACGTATAATTGCCCTCACGAGCAGAGTCATGGCGGTGTCCGGATGCCCTGCTTGCAATCGTCTATAGGCGGGCTTTTTAATACTTCGGAATATTAATTTTGTTGTCAAGTACTTAGAAAAACGTCTACCTTTAAAGAAAAAAAAACGATCCTGTCCTTTTGAATTTGTTATTTGGTTGTGGCTTCTTGACTCACTCTCTCAATTGCTTCTCTGGTATATAACTTCCTTTATATTAGTTTACGCGCTTCGCTACGCACCTCTTGAGCGGATCCGGATACATCCTCATCCAGCGATGCCTGACCAGCTGTCCCATGGTCCCCCTAAGGTGCACCACGGGCTCGAGCAGAGTCCGGATGACGTTCCTAAGCTCTGGCGTGGCCACGAGCTGCCTCGGGAAGCGGACGGTGCGGGTCATCTGCTGCCGGACCTGCCGAGCCAGGTTCTCCACGTCGAAGGGCAGGGCCCCGGTAACCAGCACGAAGAGCACGGCGCCAAGGCTCCACATGTCCGCGCTCTTGGGCAGGTACCGGACTCCCTTGAGCACCTCCGGCGCCGCGTACGCCTCGCTGCCGCAATACGTCTGGCTCATCAGCTGCCGTCCCTTGTGCTCCGGGTCGTCTGCGCTTGTCAACCGATTTCCGCGGGTGTTTGGACGTAAAGGACTCTCTACAGGTCTTTGAAAGCGTGGAAAGTATTTGAATGGAAACCCCCTAATCCAAGGCGTTTACCCGCCCGTCCGATAAAATAAGTAAAACAATTGACGCCACGCGACGCCATGGTGTCACGTGACATCACGACCTGACATTGTAACATAACGTCACGTGGCGCCACAACGTCAATTTCCCCCCTAAATTTAGCGGAGAAAGTTTGCATCAATTTATTCGTCAAACTTAGCGATAAAGTAATAAACATGTTATGCTCTTCACTCTCCAAAACGACTGTTTAATGTCCCACACATTATATGACTGTTTTAATGTCCCACACAGTAAACGACTGTTTGATGTCTCACACAAGCGTTATCGGCTTAAATGGGAACTGTGTTGTAAGATGTAAAAACAAAGCGCAATAAATTGTATTGTATTCTAAACAAACATAAACGACCGCTCCTTCGGTATTGCATTCAATGCATCATACAATGTTAGCCAAAAGGGTATATTTGGGCACTATTTGGGGCTAGAATGAACCCGATTTGCACTAGTATCTGCAAACATTTACACGCTACGCAAAAATAAACAGTCCGTGTATTCGTCGGGTCAGCAGTGAGACGACTCAGAAACCCGGCGTCCCGCTTCGCAGTATTGTTTCCGAGAATAGGTGCTTGCAGAAGAGCTTAGACACTTTCCTGCAAAAAAAAACAAAAAACAAAATATTTTCTATTTTGACCTTATTCCAGTTTTATTTAGGTATCTCCACTGAACTGGTGACTCATTTTCAGACACTGCATGGCTTTCCATGCATGGCACTACGGCAGCGCAGTGCGCTGCCTTATTGGATAGACAAAAAGCTCGCTGCCTTTGTCTCTACTCACTATTCGAACGCGAACACCGTACGCCAGGTGCTGGCTTTCGGCGTTCGAACGCGTTCGAAGAGAGAGTAGAGCCGTTTACCCAGCAATCATTCCAACCAGAGCTCGGTGTCATCCCCGCGCGCTTTTGTCACCTCCTCTCTCTCTCTCTCTCTCTCTCTCAGTTTCTACCCGGGTACATGAAGCATTCATTCGCCACAAGCTTTATGGGGCGTCGGTAATCCAGCACAAGGTCTTTTTATTTTGCGTTGAGTTGGATGTACAGGTGATTCTTGCCGGTGCCCCACACTTTAAGAAAAAAACTGGAGGAAAAAGGTAGCAACGGCGCGTGTTCCTCCCTTCTACTGACGCAGTCCCAAGCGGACACGAGAAGAAGGGAGGAACGAGACGTTTTCCTCCTTCTCCAAGCAGACGACAGAATGCTTCATCCCTCTCTACCCTCATCTTCTTTCGGTTTCGTTTTTCGAGCAGCGAGCAACACGTTGTTTAATAAAAGTTGTTGAGTTGATTGAGCTTCAGTGGCAGTGACGGTCGGCTGTAATTGCGTCTCCCAGTCCAAACGTGCAGAGCACTTCGGTTGCATTGACGTTTTTACCACTAATTTTATCAAATGAGCATGCGAAGATAACAAGATGCAAGAAGATGCAACAAGATGGGTTGTCGGGCATTGATGCCGCTGGTCGGGCCGTGATAGGAGGGGGCGGGATGTGACAGGTTGACGTTCCGCTTTACATTAAAGAGTTCAAGACCACTTGAGGGATTAGGTGCAATGGATCGACGTGCGCATAGTGATATCCGCACGCTGGTAGTAACCCACGACAAACAGCCACCAATAGAGAAGACCCCAAACAAAAGGTTAGGAGGACCTAAGACCAGTTCCAGGTTCTGGCCTTCTCACCAAAAATAATGACAGTATTAACAACAAAGCGGGAGCGAAGTAGTCATGTACTCTCAAATAAGCAGTGTTCGGGACTGGACAACAAACACAGACTGTGAAATTAAAAAAAAAAAAGGAAAGAGGTTAAACTACCGTGGGTTGAACCAACAACGAACAACGTACGTAAAGAATATTGTTGATTAAAACAACTAAATATTTTGTGTCGATTTCATACCTTCCCATCTCAAAAAAAAGAAGAATTTATAGAAACACATGATACGAATATAAGGAGTATTCACTGGGCGCCATATTTGTGGGTGCTGTCTAGAGCGCATGCTGTGAACGAGCTCACATCAATAGGCTGCTAAGACCGGCACTCTTGAGGGCGCGGAATGCACGTTACAAAAGACCTGTGAAAGCTCGCCATCAGCACGCGCTCAGCAGTCGTGCACACAGCTATGGCCGCCAGTGAATACTTCCTATAAGGAGTATTCACTGGGCGCCATATTTGTGGGTGCTGTCTAGAGCGCATGCTCTGAACGAGCTCACATCAATAGGCTGCTAAGACCAGCACTCTTGAGGGCGCGAAATGAACGTTACAAAAGACCTGTGAAAGCTCGCCATCAGCACGCGCTCAGCAGTCGTGCACACAGCTATGGCCGCCAGTGAATACTTCCTATAAGGAGTATTCACTGGGCGCCATATTTGTGGGTGCTGTCTAGAGCGCATGCTCTGAACGAGCTCACATCAATAGGCTGCTAAGACCGGCACTCTTGAGGGCGCGGAATGCACGTTACAAAAGACCTGTGAAAGCTCGCCATCAGCACGTGCTCAGCAGTCGTGCACACAGCTATGGCCACCAGTGAATACTTCCTATAAGGAGTATTCACTGGGCGCCATATTTGTGGGTGCTGTCTAGAGCGCATGCTCTGAACGAGCTCACATCAATAGGCTGCTAAGACCGGCACTCTTGAGGGCGCGGAATGCACGTTACAAAAGAACTGTGAAAGCTCGCCATCAGCACGCGCTCAGCAGTCGTGCACACAGCTATGGCCGCCAGCGAATACTTCCTATAAGGAGTATTCACTGGGCGCCATATTTGTGGGTGCTGTCTAGAGCGCATGCTCAGAACGAGCTCACATCAATAGGCTGCTAAGACCGGCACTCTTGAGGGCGCGGAATGCACGTTACAAAAGACCTGTGAAAGCTCGCCATCAGCACGCGCTCAGCAGTCGTGCACACAGCTATAGCCGCCAGTGAATACTTCCTATAAGAAGTATTCACTGGGCGCCATATTTGTGGGTGCTGTCTAGAGCGCATGCTCTGAACGAGCTCACATCAACAGGCTGCTAAGACCGGCACTCTTGAGGGCGCGAAATGCACGTTACAAAAGACCTGTGAAAGCTCGCCATCAGCACGCGCTCAGCAGTCGTGCACACAGCTATGGCCGCCAGTGAATACTTCCTATAAGGAGTATTCACTGGGCGCCATATTTGTGGGTGCTGTCTAGAGCGCATGCTCAGAACGAGCTCGCATCAATAGGCTGCTAAGACCGGCACTCTTGAGGGCGCGGAATGCACGTTACAAAAGACCTGTGAAAGCTCGCCATCAGCACGCGCTCAGCAGTCGTGCACACAGCTATGGCCGCCAGTGAATACTTCCTATAAGGAGTATTCACTGGGCGCCATATTTGTGGGTGCTGTCTAGAGCGCATGCTCTGAACGAGCTCACATCAATAGGCTGCTAAGACCGGCACTCTTGAGGGCGCGGAATGCACGTTACAAAAGAACTGTGAAAGCTCGCCATCAGCACGCGCTCAGCAGTCGTGCACACAGCTATGGCCGCCAGTGAATACTTCCTATAAGGAATATTCACTGGGCGCCATATTTGTGGGTGCTGTCTAGAGCGCATGCTCAGAACGAGCTCACATCAATAGGCTGCTAAGACCGGCACTCTTGAGGGCGCGGAATGCACGTTACAAAAGACCTGTGAAAGCTCGCCATCAGCACGCGCTCAGCAGTCGTGCACACAGCTATGGCCGCCAGTGAATACTTCCTATAAGGAGTATTCACTGGGCGCCATATTTGTGGGTGCTGTCTAGAGCGCATGCTCAGAACGAGCTCACATCAATAGGCTGCTAAGACCGGCACTCTTGAGGGCGCGGAATGCACGTTACAAAAGACCTGTGAAAGCTCGCCATCAGCACGCGCTCAGCAGTCGTGCACACAGCTATGGCCGCCAGTGAATACTTCCTATAAGGAGTATTCACTGGGCGCCATATTTGTGGGTGCTGTCTAGAGCGCATGCTCAGAACGAGCTCACATCAATAGGCTGCTAAGACCGGCACTCTTGAGGGCGCGGAATGCACGTTACAAAAGACCTGTGAAAGCTCGCCATCAGCACGCGCTCAGCAGTCGTGCACACAGCTATGGCCGCCAGTGAATACTTCCTATAAGGAGTATTCACTGGGCGCCATATTTGTGGGTGCTGTCTAGAGCGCATGCTCTGAACGAGCTCACATCAATAGGCTGCTAAGACCGGCACTCTTGAGGGCGCGGAATGCACGTTACAAAAGAACTGTGAAAGCTCGCCATCAGCACGCGCTCAGCAGTCGTGCACACAGCTATGGCCGCCAGTGAATACTTCCTATAAGGAGTATTCACTGGGCGCCATATTTGTGGGTGCTGTCTAGAGCGCATGCTCAGAACGAGCTCACATCAATAGGCTGCTAAGACCGGCACTCTTGAGGGCGCGGAATGCACGTTACAAAAGACCTGTGAAAGCTCGCCATCAGCACGCGCTCAGCAGTCGTGCACACAGCTATGGCCGCCAGTGAATACTTCCTATAAGGAGTATTCACTGGGCGCCATATTTGTGGGTGCTGTCTAGAGCGCATGCTCTGAACGAGCTCACATCAATAGGCTGCTAAGACCGGCACTCTTGAGGGCGCGGAATGCACGTTACAAAAGAACTGTGAAAGCTCGCCATCAGCACGCGCTCAGCAGTCGTGCACACAGCTATGGCCGCCAGTGAATTCTTCCTATAAGGAGTATTCACTGGGCGCCATATTTGTGGGTGCTGTCTAGAGCGCATGCTCTGAACGAGCTCACATCAATAGGCTGCTAAGACCGGCACTCTTGAGGGCGCGGAATGCACGTTACAAAAGAACTGTGAAAGCTCGCCATCAGCACGCGCTCAGCAGTCGTGCACACAGCTATGGCCGCCAGTGAATACTTCCTATAAGGAGTATTCACTGGGCGCCATATTTGTGGGTGCTGTCTAGAGCGCATGCTCAGAACGAGCTCACATCAATAGGCTGCTAAGACCGGCACTCTTGAGGGCGCGGAATGCACGTTACAAAAGAACTGTGAAAGCTCGCCATCAGCACGCGCTCAGCAGTCGTGCACACAGCTATGGCCGCCAGTGAATACTTCCTATAAGGAGTATTCACTGGGCGCCATATTTGTGGGTGCTGTCTAGAGCGCATGCTCAGAACGAGCTCACATCAATAGGCTGCTAAGACCGGCACTCTTGAGGGCGCGGAATGCACGTTACAAAAGACCTGTGAAAGCTCGCCATCAGCACGCGCTCAGCAGTCGTGCACACAGCTATGGCCGCCAGTGAATACTTCCTATAAGGAGTATTCACTGGGCGCCATATTTGTGGGTGCTGTCTAGAGCGCATGCTCTGAACGAGCTCACATCAATAGGCTGCTAAGACCGGCACTCTTGAGGGCGCGGAATGCACGTTACAAAAGAACTGTGAAAGCTCGCCATCAGCACGCGCTCAGCAGTCGTGCACACAGCTATGGCCGCCAGTGAATACTTCCTATAAGGAGTATTCACTGGGCGCCATATTTGTGGGTGCTGTCTAGAGCGCATGCTCAGAACGAGCTCACATCAATAGGCTGCTAAGACCGGCACTCTTGAGGGCGCGGAATGCACGTTACAAAAGACCTGTGAAAGCTCGCCATCAGCACGCGCTCAGCAGTCGTGCACACAGCTATGGCCGCCAGTGAATACTTCCTATAAGGAGTATTAGCGCATGCTCAGAACGAGCTCACATCAATAGGCTGCTAAGACGGCACTCTTGAGGGCGCGGAATGCACGTTACAAAAGAACTGTGAAAGCTCGCCATCAGCACGCGCTCAGCGGTCGTGCACACAGCTATGGCCGCCAGTGAATGCTTCCTATAGGACAAAAACAGGATCGAAGCGTTATAAGTGTGATCCTACTCCTCCGGGGGAAAATCTAAATACGTAAACCCCATGGTATACAGAGCTATAAAAGGATAATCTCTTGTTGTAAAATAATTATGATAACAATAATCATTGAAAAATTAAAAACGACGAAGGAATAAAATGATCTCTGCTTCTTCCCCCCACCCAAAAAGGAAAGAGAAAAAAGAAGCAAACATAAAAATAAGGAGAAAAACAAATAATAAATAAAATGAAAACATACACGAGAATACAAAGTAGCGCAGATATACATAATTAATTAAATAAATAATTAATAGACCATAAGATTTTAGATTGTTTTCAATTAATTTTCTTATACATTCCAGCACGAAAATTCTAAACAAGAACAAGACAACTTCCTCGTCGTCAAGAACACCGAAAAGAAGAGGCAAGTTTAAGCGGAACAACAGTTATTTACTTAATACCAAAAGGAAAAAAAAAAAAAAAAACACAAATAATCGTAAATGCCCGCATAATTTTTCCAAGTTCGATCCAACGCCAAGGTTGAGCTGCCTCCCTGTTTTTCTTTTTCATTGGCTTTCAGAACTAAAGTAACTTTTGGCCAATTACGGCCCTCATTTTTTTTTTCTAAATTTTGAGTTGGATTGAACTTGTTACACCGTCAGGTGGTGCAGGTCGAGAGAAACTGTTTATTTCCTTTATTTTTAACTCTCACTTTGAAATTGAGTAATTGAGTCATATTGGAACGCTGGCCAATATGACCGTTGGTTGTCTCCTCCCTGAGAGCGATTGCGCTCTGGGGAAATGACTGAACAGTACGAAAATATGACGTAAAGTAGGTATATTTACAGTTTGGAATTTTAGCATTAAGGAAAAATGGTGAATAAAATCGAAGCGATTTAACCTTCTTCCTCGCTACGCGATAATTTCTGGTTACCGTGCAACAGCGGCTTCGAGTTTGTTCTTTTGAGAGCGGCTTTTGGTTTCGCGGATTGGTCTACCATTCCTCCGTGATGTGTGGTTGACGAAGGAATTGTGACTCGAGGAACACCAAAGGTAAGACGCAAAGTGCGCGAAGTAACTGGGCATCGGTTGTGTCCGTTTAACATCGCAGTGCTGACGACGAGAAGACCGAGTAATTGCTTTTGAAACGGAAGTCTCGTTGCCTGCGGGGGGAAGCTGGCTTCGGAAATAAACACAGTTCTCGGAAAGCTCGTGTTACACTTTCATTTGCTGCTCCTCTCGTCCAGTACAAGAGACGTATTGTCATCGTAAAACCTTATTGAGCTCGATCTGCTCGATTCGGGGCCGCCATAATCAGATGCAGGCGACGGAGAAACTTTGCTCCCCTGCTTTAGAGACGAAAGTTTCTCCCTTTATGGAGGAAAATAGGTTACAAGTCCATTCCTCCCTTTAGGGAGGACTATACATACCCTTTTTCTAAGAGTGCACGCTCGCAAGCACGCGTGCAGCGCGTGCGTGAAGAAGGTAAACGTACTTAGCATGCTATGAAATTGCACGTCCTTGCTCGCACCTACACAGACTTGACAGCGACCAGGCGCAGCTGTTTGCAATAGGCGTGGCGTTAGGGTTGTAAAATAATATATAAAACGCGAGCAAAAAAAATTGTCAAAGCGGTTGTATTTAATGGGGGTATTCAATGACAAAATTTGGACCACTGCTTTGTTGTCACTAGTCTGTTGCCTGCCGATGGCGAGCAATCGAAGGATTGCACGAGCCACCCTCAAGTCGTTAGTGGGTCCGCGTTGGCGCATTAGTTTCGGTTTGATCCATTCGCTCTCTCTTTCTCTCCCCCCCCCCCCTCTCTCTCTCTCTCTCTCTCTCTCTCTATATATATATATATATATATATATATATACAACACGGGCACTTCACACCATCGTACGTTCCAGGAACCCGCCGAAAGCCAAAAATTGGCGGAGCCAATTTTTGGCTTTCGGCGGGTTCCTGGAAACTTTGATTCTTTGATTCATTGGATTAAGTACGGTTCATTCATCTGCACATATTCGTTCATATATATATATATATATACATGCGGTCTAAAAAAAAAAACAAGAAACAAAACGTGTGTAGCGTTCTGGGACCCCAATCAATTGTCGCGGTCTTTTTTTGCCCTGCCAGTATTTTTTTTTTTTTTTGCTATTTTCACGTTTTTTTTTGCTTTTTTTCACTTCGTTGTTGGTTTTTTGGCGTTCTTATCGACTGATGCCACGATCTGATTGGCTGTGGAGTGGTAACAGCGTGCTTGAAACTGACCAAGCCCTGCGTTTGTCAAGCTCTCCGTGACTCCAGTCACCACGAAGCGCCTCTCGTTCCGTGATTCTTCCGAAGACGTTCCTGAAGTTGATCTTCGTCTTCTTACATAAGACAAGTTGTGCGTACGCCATCTTGCATACTGCCGCGCTTGCGGATCGTGCGCTCGTTCCGAGCCTCTGCCAACGCGTCAGGATTGCGTACGTGGCGACGCGGGCGCGAGGTTTCGACCATTGTCAATGATAGAATGAGAACGGCAAGGCGTCCCTTTTGGATGCCCGACCTCTATAGCATATGCGCTCGATTCCTACCGCTATGCCATCTCAGCAGCGTGACATACGTCGGAGCAGCGAATGAGAGAAAGGCGCCGCGGACAAGTTCGCAAACGGCCAAAGCTACGGCACTGACCAGCCGAACAGAGCGTCGGACCAAGGTATGCACGTGTGCAGCCTTGGTGCGTTCAGCTCGATCGCTTTGATTCGCCCACCGCCAACGTGCAGACTCCGCGCCGCTTCCCGGGGCTCACCGCAGTAGCGGCTGAAGCCGAAGTCCGCCAGCTTGACGATGCCGTCGCGCGAGAGGAGCACGTTCTCGCACTTGATGTCTCGGTGGGCGATGTCGTGCCGGTGCAGGTAGGCCACGGCGCAGGCCAGTTGCACGAACAGCTCGTGGGCGCGGCTTTCGGGGAGCCGACCTTCGGCCTGCAAGGATGCACCGCATGCACTCGAGGAAGATCCTGCGTATACTGTTCTAAGATGCTCTCAGGACACACTAGCCTATGACAGAGCGAGAACGGCAGGTAGGAGCTTCGACGACGCTTCGGCTTTGCCTGGACCTCGAGCACGCGTGCGCGTGCAGCCATAGCACGGTGAAGGGCATGGAACGCATGCTGAAGGCCGGGCGTTCAATACACCCGCCGTGCCGTTCTCACTCTGTCAGGTAATGTAGCCACCGAGAGCTGTGTTCTTTCTTGGCAACTTACTATACACTCAGACTTGCCTTCCCCGTGCACCCACCTGTGTTTTGTGCAACAGATAACGATTATTTGTGTGTGTGTGCGTGTGTGGATGCTCGTTCGGGGGGGGGGGGGGGGGGTTGCTAAAAGAAGAAAGAAATGCTCTTGCATTTAAAAAAGCCCGGAAGACGGACTCACCGAGACGAGGGTGAACAGGTTCCCGCCCAGGACCAGCTCCATGACGATGAAGACCCGGCTGGGTCGGTGCAGGATCTCCAGGACCCGGACGATATGCGAGTGCCGGAGGCGGCTCAGGATGCCCAGCTGGCGGGGGAGGAACTTGACGCGGAAGTTGCGAGACGTCCGCCGGGTGTACACCACCTTGCAGGCGTACGCCAGCCCGTCCCTTGTCACCACGCTGCACGCGCGCACCACAGAATTTGCTACTCTTGGTACAGGCAAAGCATTGGCCATGAGCCCTGAAACCTTCGCATCCCGCATTATAGGTGGTATATATTGCGGGGTGACGAACCGGCCATTATTTCGGTTCGGGTTTGCTAGATTTGCATTTTTTTTGTTGGATGGCTTCCGGTTCAACGTGTATTCGAATTTCGAAATAAAGATTCGGTTACCGATTCCACCAAGCCTGAACCGGTTCAACCCGGTTCTTAACTCTAGCTTAGACTGGAGCCGCTCGTGCATTCCTTGCGCTACACAAAACAAACAAACAAGTGAAAAAAACGTGTTCAACACGGCGTCATGCCCGATAGGAGTGCAGAAAATATGTATTCTTGACCAGAAGTCGTTTTATTATGAAATCGAATTTTTATCGCAAACACATATGTATAAAAATTACATAGTCATGCATGCAGGCGCTCGGAGAAAATACTGCATGTGAAGTCGATCAGCCAGCACGCGGAATGACGCCGCGTACCAGACATTATGGATTACGCATCTCGCCTTCGTACCACAAAGCAACAACTCAGACCGTCGGTATACACCGCAAGCAAGCCACCGCTAAAGTGTTCAAGCCCAGACCTCCATACCAGTTCGCACGTTCTCGTACGACATGACGCGGTCCGAAAAACGTTGCAACCACTTTATGACGGCCCCTTCATGGTAGCTCTGACGACCATCCTAAGTACTTCACACTGCAAAATAGCAATCGAGAAGGAAGGAAATTGTGAGTAAGGGAATCGGGAAAGAGAGAATCCTTACGCGACTCTGGAGTGCGATCCGGAGCCCAGCTCGTCTCCGAGTACGTAACCGCTCTTGGCGAGCAGCGCCGCGTCCTCGCTGATCGCAAGCTCCTCCGACCGGACAGCGGTGTCGCTGGTCATGACGGCGCAGGGTTCCGCCAGGTGCCCGACTGTCTCTCGGCGTTCTTTTTAGCTGCCGTTGCTATTTCCACGTTCCACTGTAGTCGTTGCTGTCCTTTGGTTGTTGGCGCATAGCCAAGAAGGGGACAGACCGAGGATCAGTGTGACTCTAGCGTTCCACTACAACCAAGGCCGAGTTTTCATCCTCTTCTGTTGGTCCACTTGGAGCCCGTACGTAGTACCAGAAGCTCCTATATAAGTTTCACTGTGGCTACGTTTCCATGAATGCGATCGCAGCGCATCGAATCGAGCAGGGACCAATCGCACGCAGTCTGTCTTCCTACTTCTTCTTCTATCTATCTGGTACCAATCAAAATAGTCAAATCTCGATTCGATGCGCAGCGGTCGCATCCATGTAAACGCAGCCTATGTCCGTCTGTCACTTCTTTACAAAGCACCGAATCCTAACATAATCCCGCCCCTCAGCGCCCTTAACGGCGGCCAAAAAGGAAAAGAAGTAAAAGTTACCTAGAGCGCGCAGAATTCACATAGCTGAGACGGCTGAGACAGCTCCTTGCTCAGTTAAAACGTGGTTAAACGCGCATATGGGGGAACGGTAGGCGAGTGTGCTAGCGCCCACCAGCTTGAAGCACGTGGAGCGAAAGCTCGGGCTGCGCCGTAGAGATCAGTGTTCAATCCCCGCCTCTGCCCGTTTCGATCTGGATGAGCATCATACCGGTGTGCGGTCGTGTATCACTACTACGTGGTGGACTTAAAAGACCCCAGGCTAGCAGTTGTACTGCACTGGCTAAATTGCTCATCTAAGCGAGTGACTCGCCGCAACTTTGAAATGGCTTACCAACTACACGCTGTATAAATATCCAACCAACCCCAACTAATATAGAACACGCATAACCTCCTGCAACGCCATGCTCGATCGTCGTGCTTAGCGGTGTCCCGGCGATCCGTAGTTGACATCGTGAAGCCTTTTTACAGTGTTCTAGAGGTTGTAGTGGCAAGAGAGGTACCCACTTACAATGGGCCGTGTGAAGACGGTCGACGTAGATGGCCGCGAGTGGCGCTGGAGCTCCGGGCCCCATATTGGTGGCAGGTGGCAGATGTGCGGAGAGCGAAGAAGACCAGGCTGAGGCGGTACACTTCTTCCGAGCATAGCACCGTAGCACTTTTCTTTGTGGTGTAATGGTGGGGAGTCTTCACCGTTCCGTAGTCGTCTCGGTCATGAATGCGAGGAGAAAGACGGACACTGCTTCGCGCGGGGATGCAAGTCGGGCTACCCGGACCACAAGGGCAGCCGGAGCACCAGCGATTGTAAGCCGTCGCTGTTTCATGCACCAAAGGAGGAGTCGTGCAGACTACAATGGTAACAAAATCTTAAACGAGAAAATAAACGCCTCGTCGAGACATCAGTGGTGTGCCAGAGACATTTTAAACCGCGCCTTATCCTTCGGAACAATGTGCACATCGTCAGTGGTGAAGAGGTTAGGATTCTATGCCGGAATAAATTATGTCTATTTTCTATTCTTTTTGCTTAGTATTTTGCTGGATATCTGTCATGCGCTTGCTGTGTATGTCGATGAAGTGTATTACCACTTTTGAGAGCTCATAAACCAGTGTGTTGAGAATATTTTTTTTTTCTATATTAGGGGTTGTTGAAGTTTGTGTTCATATTGTATTTTAATGCTTCATGTACTCCCAATCGAGGCATTTTTCCTCATAGACTGCATGCCTTCCACAGAAAACAATTTGCTATATGTTCATCAGTTGCAGAGGCACCTTGGCCCTTCTCAAACGCGCTCGGCCTTGCACCTGATCTGTTTCTGTTCACACGATGCATCTTTTAGGCGCGCAACAGTTTCGCGACACTCAAGTTTTGCGAAATGTGCTCGTTCACACGTACCGCTTCACGTGCAGCAACAACACACACCGATGCACCGTTTTGAGTGAGCTCCGAATCAGATCGCTATTTATCTGGGGACCTGCTTTGCGCATTTTATGCAGTCAATTCACTTTAATTTTTTTTTCTCACATACTGCACTACTTGGAGCGATCTCGCTTGTGCGCTAAGCCGATTGAGGCGGCAACCAGTACGTGCAGGACATGTGCCGGCGCCGAGCCCGTTCGCAGCCAATTCATTGCCAAAGCTCCTATCAATGCACATGGTATTTATAGAAACGCTACGTGCCCAATCTGGTTACTTCTCGGCGCCCATGCCTCCCCCGAGTTTACGGTGCCAACTGTTTCAGAGAGCGCATATGGTTTCACGTTCGCTTGTAAACAAAGCGAACTTGGTTTCAGTTTACTCGATGGTCTCTTATCCAGCGGTATCGTCGCGACAACAGCGCAATGAGCACTATTCTAATCTCGCCAACTCCCGCTAATTGCCTTCGTCCATCGTTGGATTTTTTTCCGATATGCTACTCACTTTTTTGCGGAAGCGCCGGCAGTATCCATCGTTCGTGGTTTCGGTTTCTCCGGATTTGGCTCCGCTACAACACCGGCCGTGAAGTGGTCTTCTCAAACAGCTCGCTCCCCCCTCAAAGGCCACGTGAGAGCGTTTCTGAGCGGCCATTGGCGGCGCCCTCAGAGTGATTGACAGGATTCGGCAAAGTTTCAGCAGAAGCTCGCTCCGGAAGCGAGGTGTGCGCGCAACTTTTTTTAGATGCGCGCGTCCTTTTCGGATTCGTTCAGACGGCGCAGCCATTTCGCGAAACTAGATGCGCGAGAAAAATGCATCGTGTGAACGGGCCTTTAAGGTCTGTTCACACGATGCATCTTTTAGGCGCGCAACAGTTCCGCGACACTCAAGTTTCGCGAAATGTGCTCGTTCACACGTACCGCTTCACGTGCAACAACGATGACGTTTAGACTCGCGAAAATAGTTTGGGTGTTGACCATAAGGTGGCGCTTCGGTTGAAAGCCAACATCATCATCATCACCATTAGCCATTCAGCGTCGTGTCCTCCATCTCCCGCCACATTCTAAGAGTCAAAACGGAGGCGAGCTGGTGAACAATCATAATTAAGAAATAAAACCCTTAGGGTGCCTCAATGACCTCACATGAAGGCACCCTAAAAACCTTAAGACAAGGAAACAAAAAGGGACATACACACCACCGTCTTAAAACCAGCACAGCATACAGCTGTCATTTACTTCCATTTACTTAATTTACTCTTAAATTGTCCTTTACTAGTTGTTGAATTGTCATTTACTGCCATTTACTTTATTTACTGTTGAATATGTATAATTTTGATGGAGGTTGACAAAGAAGACTGATGTGGAAGTAAATGAGAGCTGTACGCTGTGCTGGTTTTGAGACGGTACTGTGTACATCCCTTTTTGTTTCCTTGTCTCAAGGTTTTATTTCTTAATTATGACTAAACATAGGCGCGAATTATCATCATCACCAATTACGTCTTCGTCCATCGCTGGATTTTTTTCCGATATGCTACTCATTTTTCCTTCAGTGGTGCTTGACGTGCTTGCGGAAGCGCCGGCAGTATCCATCGTTCGTGGTTTCGGTTTTTTTCGGATTTGGCTCGGCTACAACACTGGCAGTGAAGTGGTCTTCTCAAACAGCTCGCTCCCCCCTCAAAGGCCACGTGAGAGCGTTTCTGAGCGGCCATTGGCGGCGCCCTCAGAGTGATTGACAGGACTCGGCAAAGTTTCAGCAAAAGCTCGCTCCAGAAGCGAGGTGTGCGCGCAACTCTTTTTAGATGCGCGCGTCCTTTTCGGACTCGTTCAGACAGCGCAACCATTTCGCGATACTACGTTTCGCGACACTAGATGCGCGAGAAAAATGCATCGTGTGAACGGGCCTTTACATAACTCTTGTCCCCGCATCAGCAACACGATGACAAAAAACAATACACCAGTTTATTTTTCCGCTCACCATTAAAAAGTGCGAGATTTATTGAAATTTATTAGTCTAATTTTCCTTGTTATATCATTATCGCGTTATTTCTTTCGCAGCTATTAAGTGCGCAGCCCAAGGGTCAGCGTTGCTGAACGACCTGTCAGTATTGGCAAGGGAGGGGGGGAGGGGGGAGGGGGAGAGTCGATATTAATAAAATAATTTCCCTCAAAAGCACGCGAATATTGAGAGCAAAGGATAGCACACACTCTAGAGGCATTCGTCCAAAGGAATAACTACAATTTTTCGCG